GCAACATTGGATTTATGTCAAATGAGAAATTTGATCAATAGAGATTTCTTGAATTCTTCACCACAGCTCCTAACAACATTCCTGAAAGGAATTATGAACATAAGTCCAAAATATGAATTCAAGAATACTTGCAGTAATTAATGATGTTTTGATTGAGAAAAAATCATTTCATTTATGGACAGGTCCATATGATCATATTTGGTCTCTTTGGAAGATGTATATCCCTCTGAATATTCCCTGTATCCAAAACCTCCCAGTGCATAACCCCTATGTATCGATATCATCCTCGTGATATTCTCCTTATGAAACCCCATTTGTCTGAAATCCGTTTATCCGAAATCGATTAGTCCAAATCCCATAAAGAAATCTGGGAGATTTCAATTGAAGCCTGTGTTTGAGACATGTTATTTTGCAATACTTAATTATAGTTTATAATATAATGCGTAGTATTGGAATTATCCGTTGTTTGACGACCAGTTTCACTTAGGTAAAAACAGTACTTGGACATGATTTTACAATATAGTAATTTTTCTCTGAAAAAACAGAATTTGCGACAAAAACACATTTTACATCATACAGTGCAAATCAAAGTTATATCCTATCCATCACCAAAGTAATTGAATATACTTTCGGGCCATATGCAAATTGATTCATGCGGATAATGACTATTAGTGATGTGCATCCTTATTTGCTGTCTTGATAACATCAAAAGAAGAATCACGTCTGAAAATCCCTCTTCTAGTAAAAATAATGAACACAAAAAAGCAGTTGATACATGCCTATAAGAAATAGATCTTGCCATTTGATAACTCCATTACCTAAATGATATTACAGCTGACTGCAATGCATTCAACCAGATAAAGGATATTATTGCAGTAGCAATGTAAAGGTTAAATTGGAAAAAACTTTTGGTGAAAAATCATTATTGAGCCCCAGCAGGGTCAAGGGAAGTCAAGCATCATCATGTCAAGTTCATCCACAACTGCTGATATAATTAACTCTGTTTCCGAAATGTCCATTGCTGATGAGTCAAGCAGTGAGTATCCCTTAAAACTCTCCTTCCTCCAGTAATTTATCATCAACATCCATGCAAGATGATTTTACAATTCTTCATAATGCGGCACGGATCCTTAGACAATCGATAGATGCAGAACCGATAATGACCAACTACCCCAATCCATCAAATGTATCACACGAAGAAATCTGGAAAAACATTCCACAAAACTCACACAGTTCATAGTTTGGCCGACAGACAAATCTCCTTTCTAAAACCAAAAAGAGAAAATGAAATTGACACTAGTCCCAAGATAAGTTGTGTTGCAAGGACCATCATTTATCTCAGCAAAACTTGTAAAACCTTTCACAATCGGGCTCACCACAAAATTACATCATCCATTTGGTTCTCGTGTCCTGATTGACACATTACACCAGTATGGCATATGTATGTCATACAATCAATATAGACAGTTCTAAACTGCACTTGCAAATGAAGAGAAAACAGAGATAGTAGATGGAGAGCATAATCCAAGTGGTATCATCCCCATTGTAAATGGAGGCGACCTGATTTCTGAAGGAGCAGATAATTTAGATATACCATTGATGGCAAGAATACCTACCATGCAATGGCTGGAGTTGTATTCCAAAACCAAACTTCATCTCAGCGAGATGGCTGGATGATACGATGAATATAGTTATCCACTGGATATTGTTGAAATAGGTTAAACATTAAGATAATGATTAACATTTCTAAACCTTTTAACTTTTGGATTTGACTTATTTGATCTTTTGTGTCTCTTCCCTTGATCTGCTCAGTTGCTAATTGGACAAAACAAATACAATTTGTGTTGGTGTACATGTAATTGATTTATTTAATATTACATAATAATATCAATTAGCAAGTTGGGTAGTCCATATCTGAAGGGAGGTGGAGGGGAATGGGTGGCAACAATAAATGTATATAATAGTCCACAATTCCAATAATAAGTATAATACAGTCCATATAATAATATACTGATAATAATAAAATGATAATAGTTACTTATAATGAAAATAATATTACTGATCACAAGTTAAAATATCTGAGACCAGCTATGTGCTAGCATAGACTGATAGAATACAACTGCCCCACGTTGACCAGTGCCTGGGTCTTTGACAGCAGACAACCACGTGACCATCATTTCAACCTACTTAATATTTATGAATGTAAGAAAGCAACGATACAGTCGTCCCACAAAGACTTTTATGATGCATAAAAAATATTTGTGTCAATTATGTCAGTTATGATGTCACAATTGAAATGCTATTGATCTTAATTACATAATTCATACTTTACCAAATAGGAAAAAGCATAACCTTTCATTTGATGCCAAACTTTAAATTATCCGACAAAAAATGAAAGGGATACCCCAAGATGAAATACACCTCAAGTCTACTTTTTAATATTTCTTTCAAAAAAGATCGGTTTCATAGCAATTTTCATTTGTACATGTTACCCATTTTGGTTTCAATAAAAATAACCATTGGAGTGGAATCTCATGTTGTAAATAAATGAATAGGAAAAAGCAGAAAAATACATGGCAATTTTAAATAATGGGATCTTTATATAGGTAGATATAGATAGCTAAATTTTACATTAAATCTTTTAAAAATGTCAGTTATGACATCACAATAATTCCATTAGCTAATTTACATAATTCATACCTAGTTCTAAAGATGTCATCACGAGCTTTCATTCAATACCCATATCATAATTATCCAATGAAGAATAAAGAAGATATATGGAAAAACATTTTATTGTATTAACACTCGTTTAAAGTGGGAGTTATTTATAGCGTCCTTTTCCATGGTAACGGCCCAAATGAAAACTCTATTAACCCTCAAAGTTTCAATGCATGATATCAGAGCTTTTTGATGGTACCAAGATTTTGCTGGGGGTCAGTAAAATATTAAATTCCCGTATTTTAAGTCTTTGGAGGATTTTCCTACTTGTCGATAATAAATATACTTACGCTTTTAAGAACGATTTGTTCTTGAATGGTGGTAAAACTCCATGTGTTGAGAACACCACCAAAAGTGCCAAATTGTCGGACACAGAACAGATATAGGACACATTCATTTCTTCATACCATCAAATAGTTGGTACCGACATGCCATATGTTGAGAGCAAAGCAAAAACGCCAAATCAGTAAAATCGTTCAGTTGTCCCGGGGAGGATAAAAAGAAAAGGAAAATTGAAAGGTTATTATTCCCAAGAAAACATTAACAAAATCCATGTCTAAGAATACGACTGTGAGGAAAAGCAAAATCAGACCGCTCATTCAACAATTTTGTCAGTCAAGGCAGAATCACAGAAAAAAACTGTCAAAGGCAGAATCACAGAAAGAAACTGTCAAATCCAGTTAAACAGACTTATCTGTGAAGCAAGTCAATTGTTTGTTAGATCCGTCAGACAAAGCAGTGCCTTAGAAGGAAAAAAATCAACGGATTCATCTGAAAATCATGTTGATTGTTCTACAGTTACATCAGACGACGCTCTTCCTCATAAAGAAAACCTATCAATAGACTCATCTGAAAATCAGATCTCTTGTTCAACAGTTAACATTGCAGCAGTCAGAGTAGTGCAACAAGAGGAACAATCAGCCATTCAGAAGCAGGGCGAAAACAACAATAAAGTTGCAAGGAAAAGATGTTTAACGATACCTGCACATTTGCCACTTAAACTGGTAAAGGTTGATAGTGGCCTAACTGAAGAAAACATAAAGAAATATGTATTTCTATACTTCAACCTACACACGTTTAGGAAGGATGAGGTTGAGGAAGTGAGACTCTGACTCTGAAATGACACTACTTTAGATGTGTTTCATTAAATATTTCGAATAAAAAGTATTATGAAGCACTGAAGCCATCATTTCTTTCAATTTCTTGTGTTAAATCAATCACATATTTTTGCATAATTAAGAAAATGAAAATCGCATAATATCCAGAATTTTAAAAATTCCATCGCATAATTTGAGATGTTTTTTGCATAAAACTGAGGGGACAGCATCATGGTATACCAGAGTGAGTGTGGTTCTATAACAGTCATACTGACTCATAATGGTGTGCATTTCTGTTTCTCATATAAGGATAGAGGGCTACACAGTTCAACTAAAACTTTTATAGACATTATTTTTAAAAGAGTTACTGTATGGAGTATCATCAGTGATTTGCTTGTGATTTTATTTGAAAACATAGGACTATACAGTTGAAGTTGATATGCTATAGACATTTTTGATGACTGACTTATTCAGTGATTCATGTTCAATTTTAAGTGATTTTCTTGTGATTTTATGTAAATTTAACTAGTTTGTGGTATTTTGTTATATAAAAACTGACATAAATTGTTTTGCTTTGCAATTCATCGCTATACACCGTGATAACCAAACCAGTATCACACCCAAGTGTCCTATCAGGAGAATCCTTTAATTAAGGGTAGCCCAGGTGTTCTGCCTGTTTTGCCCAGGTGCGACAATATTATATAAAACACTAATTATACCACTTGAAATGAAAAAATTGAAGGATGCCAATTTTGACAATACTTGCTTGAATTGAATGTTTCTGTAAAACTGATAATTTGCTCTTCAAGCTTTGTGTTCAATTTTATACATATCTGGCAACTTGGATTCTTAAATGGCCACAATGACTTGGTTGCCAATTGGCGAGCACTGGGTTGTGTTCGCCATTGAAAATACTCATTGTACTTGTGATCATCAAGATCCAGATGCTTTAAATATTCTGCAAGTTTATGAGGGCCAGAAAATGTGGATACATCAATATAAGAATGATCAGGAAGAAGTGTTTTATAATCGTCACATCCAAATACAACTGGAATCACTTTCCATACTACAAGACAGCGCCACAGTTTTTCAGTAATGTAATCTTTGCATATTGAATTTTCAAAAGCAAGATAGAATTTGTATGGTTTATAGAAATCATTTTCACACTGAGAATTCTTCTCGCATCTAAATTCTCCACATTCTCCAAATATGTCAACAGGAATATATTCGATCAATTTTTCTACATATACATCTCTTCTACTCCATGGGGCACAATTACTGACAGCCCAAAACACCAACTTGCTTTTATTGGCTGCAAAGTTTATATTTTCAATTGTTTTCCTATTGTCAGATATATCTATGGTTATATTTCTATATTTTGCATGTGTTCCATTGAAATATCCATATGGCTCCCAAATATCACAATTTCTTTGATATCCCCATGTCCAGTTGAATCTGAAATCTAAATAGTTTAAAAGGTTGCTCAACTTTGACAATGGCTGTAAAGAATGCATTAGAGATATTGGTGATTCCAAATTACGAAATATCCATACTTGGTTATTTGGATGATAAGTAGGTAGTAAATGTTCATCCTTCCTCTTTTTCATACGACGTAATTCTTGGATGATTTGATTTGAATAAGCAACAACAGCCGAGCTTATGTTGTATGCTGTGGTATCACTGGTTATTAAACATGTGCAATCTCCACAATTTATTACCTTCTTCATGGGAATTTCATTGAAATTCCATAAGAGAATAACCTTAGGACCTCCATTCATTGATTGTAAATCCACATATTTAAACAAAGAGTGTGTTTCATTATCAGAGCTTTGCTGAATAGATTCATTTTGTATTGCAAGATTTGTATCATTGTCTAACCCAGTGTACAGATCTATTTCAGTCAATTTTGCAATATACGCCAGATATATAGATAGTGTACTGCAACACACTATCAAACCACAAAATATATGTTTCATAACCAAGCTTTTTCATACAAAGTAGCAAATCTACCTTCTTATGATAGATATTAGCAGTACACCTAGGCCTTAGGCTTCAAAAGTAGACATTATAATAAACATAAAATGTTTGAATACGTAACTGTCAATGAAGACAGGCATATTTCACGCCATAGTGACGTAACCTATAAGTATTAACCAAAGTATTGACAGAGTTCTCCCAATATATGGTTACCTCGGAGGCTCTTCATTTGGCAAGAACGAAGGCATATTTCATGTCATAGTGGAAGGAAGGGAGTAACCTGCAACAACCTGGCCCAATATACCAGTGCTAAGAAAAGTAGCTCAATGATACTAGTGTAGCGACCCGGGTTGGCTTTTCATACTTTTGAACTTCCGGTTAATTAGAACTTCCTGTTAGAGACCTTGTATGGGATTTCCGATGCCAACTTTCCCCCGGTTCGCTACTTCCCTTCCGCTCTGGAGCGCGATTTTGCCCGCTGCTTTGTGCAATGGTAAGCCTTTAACTCTATAATTTAAGGTTCCCTGTAAATCTGGTTTTTAATATTGGGGAAACATACTTATAGCCACTTTTATACTTTTCGCGGGGTAATCTTATGTAAGGGAGGTCATAGCCTCGCTTTAGATTCGCAGCCATCTTCTCCTGACACGACACGTTTTTGAAATATTATCCTTTCCACGACAACAAAAGCGAATACTACTGAGAACATTGAGATTTAAGATTCCTGGAGACGAAGCAAGTGACAATGAATGAAGACAGGTGGCTCTGGGTATGTTTCCCCCATTAGTGGTGCTAAGAATTTGCCAGATTGAGTTTTGTCTGTTTTCGCCCGGAGAAAACGTGTTTTTGACCAAGGTCCCCATCTTGGATTAAGAGTGGGCGCCTTGGATTTTCAATCATTTTTCAACTTGATTTGGCAATTTCTGAAGCGCCAGGTATCATTTTCTCTGGTCTTTGGGACCATATTTTTATATTCTTGGACTCAATTGATGCGCTGAGCTAATTTCATTTCACATTTTTAGGTCGGAGGTGGCCAGTTTCTTTCTGACATTTTCAGGCAGAAATTAATTGATTGTTGGTTTTAGTGTTTGTAAAATCTGTGCCCATCCATACTCTGGAGGGTTGCACTCTGTTTTATTTTTAGTGCAAATTGGGCTAAGATCCCTAATCTTTCTAAATCTGTGTATATTTTGGCTATTTAATTGAGCTTTGAGAGTTTCTGCCAGTTTTATTCTGATTTTGCTGCTAAGCGCTCATTTGAGTTCAGGGATATTTCACTACCTCAGAGCATAGTATTATTACTGCTCGCTGAGACTCAGGGTAATCTCGGAACAGTTGAGCGCAATTTTAAACAGAGATCTTATTTTGCTTCATATTTTCTTAGAATCTCATAAAACTGAATGTAAAACTCTTGATCAACTTATTTTGGAACGAGATCTGAATTCAATTGTACTTTTTTACCTTTCAGGCGCTCTCATCTCAGCTTTGTATGATAGTGTAAATTTCAATCATCTTCACATTTTACTTGGTCCCCCGATTCCTTCACATAGCCATTTGTTCCATTAGTAATTTTAGCTTTTAATCCCATTTAAAGGGGGCAGGACTGCATAGTTAGTACATTTATTGGTTTCATTTCTCCATACATCCTTTTACTTTACATTCTTATCTAAAGGGGGCAGCACCTGACTGAATCACGTAAAACAACACAGCTCCATTCATCCCATCTTCGAACTACAAACTCTACCACTCTACCACAAACGTAATTTGTACAGGGGTTACTTTGTGAATAGTTTTTGTACATCATTCCCCTGTACGTAGCAGTGTCGGGAGACTGTCCTGAGCTGCTACACTAGTGGCACTGACCCCATAATGGTTAGCTAAGCAAAAACCAGTCACCTTGTACTCTACAGCCAGCATGCTCATGTTATTAATTTAAGAACAAAATTCTTAGACAGTGTTGTTATAAGATACGCCCTATTAACTCATCTGTACATTTATTGAAACAGTACACAGGATATAATAATAGAAATGCTAATAGGTGGAAAGTCTGATATACTACAAAATTTCGAAAATGTTACATTTGAATAGTGCATATTATATAGATATGATGGTATAACAGTAATCAAACAGAGATCTGAATGAAAAATTGGTATGTACAAATGTAAATAACCTATTAATTGCTGTATGAATGTATGTCATGTCACTCTCAAGTCTACCAAGGTAACAAAACTTTTTTTTAAAGTTTATGAACATGAATTACGTCTTTTAAATACTACATTAAGAATGCCTATAGGTGATTGGTAGTTATAATGTAGTTGAGTATGGAAGGATAATACAAAAACTATGATAAAGCAATTACATCACTGAATGTCACTTAATGTGTCTTTATTCACTATTCTAATATGATACATGATGTCACAATAGCTAGAACAATTGATTTACTGGTCTATATTGGAGTATGTATGACCACTAAAATTCATAAATGTATATAGTTGTGTTTTTTGTCTGTTTATCATATAATAATCAAAAGAAAAACCTCGATTTTATGATTTATGTCAAATATGACCTCAAATTTTATTCTGGCCATTGCCAAAGACCTCAATTGGTCATTTAAAATGAACAGAATACAATCTTTTGTCATATTACACGATAAAACATAAAATCTCAGTCTTTTTTTTTCTTCATTCTTTTAAATAGAGAAAAACAAATAAAGACATTAAACACATAGAATCTGGCAAAGATTTTCCAGAAATTATGAAACATAATGTACTTTTAAATTTTGACAATACTTGCTGGAATTGAATGTTTCTGAAAAACTGATAATTTGCTCTTCAAACTTTGTGTTCAATTTTTTGCATATCTGACATCTTGGAGTCTCAAATGGCCACAGTGATTTGGTTGCTAATTGCGGAGCAGAAGGTTGTGTTCGCCATTGAAAATACTTATTGTACTTGTGATCATCAAGATCCAGATGCTTTAAATATTCTGCAAGTTTATGAGGGCCAGAAAATGTTGATACATCAATATAAGAACGATCAGGGAGAAGTGTTTTATAATCGTCACATCCAAATACAACTGGAATAACTTTCCATACTACAAGACAGCGCCAAAGTTTCTCAGTGATGTAATCTTTGCATATTGAATTTTCAAATGCAAGATAGAATTTGTATGGTTTATAGAAATCATTTTCACACTGAGAATTCTTCTTGCATCTAAATTCTCCACATTCTCCAAATATGTCAACAGGAATATATTCGTTCAATTTTTCTACATATACATCTCTTCTACTCCATGGGGCACAATTACTGACAGCCCAAAACACCAACTTGCTTTTATTGGCTGCAAAGTTTATATTTTCAATTGTTTTCTTATTGTCAGATATATCTATGGTTATATTTCTATATTTTGCATGTGTTCCATTGAAATATCCATATGGCTCCCAAATATCACAATTTCTTTGATATCCCCATGTCCAGTTGAATCTGAAATCTAAATTATTTAAAAGGTTGCTCAACTTTGACAATGGCTGTAAAGAATGCATTAGAGATATTGGTGATTCCAAATTACGAAATATCCAAACTTGGTTATTTGGACGATAAGTGGGTAGTAAATGTTCATCCTTCCTCTTTTTCATACGACGTAATTCTTGGATGATTTGATTTGAATAAGCAACAACAGCCGAGCTTGTGTTGTATGCAGCGGTATCACTTGTTATTAAACATGTGCAATCTCCACAATTTATTACCTTCTTCAAGGGAATTTCATTGAAATTCCATAAGAGAATAACCTTAGGACCTCCATTCATTGATTGTAAATCCACATGTTTAAACAAAGAGTGTGTTTCATTATCAGAGCTTTGCTGAATCGATTCATTTTGTATTGCAAGATTTGTATCATTGACTAACCTAGAGTACAGATCTCTTTCAGTCGATTTTGCAATATACGCCAGATATATAGATAGTGTACTGCAACACACTATCAAACCACAAAATATATGTTTCATAACCAAGCTTTTTCATACAAAGTAGCAAATCTACCTTCTTATGATAGATATTAGCAGTACACCTAGGCCTTAGGCTTCAAAAGTAGACATTATAATAAAAATAAAATGTTTGAATACGTAACTGTCAATGAAGACAGGCATATTTCACGCCATAGTGACGTAACCTATAAGTATTAACCAAAGTATTGACAGAGTTCTCCCAATATATGGTTACCTCGGAGGCTCTTTATTTGGCAAAAACGAAGGCATATTTCATGTCATAGTGGAAGGAAGGGAGTAACCTCCAACAACCTGGCCCAATAGACCAGTGCGAAGAAAAGTAGCTCAATGATACTAGTGCCACTGACCCCATAATGGTTAGCTAAGCAAAAACCAGTCACCTTGTACTCTACAGCCAGCATGCTCTTGTTATTATTTCAAGAACAAAATTCTTAGATAGTGTTGTTATTAAGATACGCCCTATAAACTCATCTGTACATTTATTGAAACAGTACACAGGATATAATAATAGAAATGTTAATGGGTGGAAAGTCTGATGTACTACAAAATTTCGAAAATGTTACATTTGAATAGTGCATATTATATAGATATGATTGTATAACAGTAATCAAACAGAGATCTGAATGAAAAATTGATATGTACAAATGTAAATAACCTATTAATTGCTGTATGAATGTATGTCTTTTAAATACTACATTAAGAATGCCTATAGGTGATTGGTAGTAGTAGTTGAGTATGGAATGATAATACAAAAACTATGATAAAGCAATTACATCACTGAATGTCACTTAAAGTGTCTTTATTCACTATTCTAATATGATACATGATGTCACAATAGCTAGAAAAATTGATTTACTGGTCTATATTGGAGTATGTATGACCACTAAAATTCATAAATGTATATAGTTGTGTTTTTTGTCTCTTTATCATATAATAATCAAAAGAAAAACCTCGATTTTATGATTTATGTCAAATATGACCTCAAATTTTATTCTGGCCATTGCCAAAGACCTCAATTCACGATGCCCATGTCAAGCAGCGTGCCTACTAGGCACGCAGTTTGAAACTCTGACAAACTGCGCGCATATTTCAAAATCGAAGACGGGGAGGACACGACTCCCAAAAAGAGCCAGAACACGAAAAATACAAGGTTAGTCTCGTTCGAAAGACAGTACCATTCTGTGAAGATGAACTTAATTTACTCATAGTACTCAATGTTGTTCCCGATGTAAACCTAATTATCTCAATATAAGGGTCTTAAGTAGCTTCTGTGTTCAAAATTCACAGTGTAAAGTTATATCTATGTCTTTTTATCGTCATTTGCCTATATTCACATGTATTTCCCAAACTGCGTGCCTAATATTTTCAAACTGCTTACCTACCCAAGCTTGTTTTGTATTATTAGAAAACGTAAGCGCCATATGTAAGGCACATATGTGTCTAATAGTAGAACCCCATAAGTGAAACACTATGAGAGTCCATCGACCAAGATGGTGATCTGAAAATAAAAGTTTTTCGTTCCCAACTTAATTGTCACTTCTATTATACATTTTGACTTTCAATATGAATATCTCATAAAATCTGACGATAAAGCAAAATTTTCAAAGCTATATGAAAAACACCTACACGTGCCTCCGTAGAAATTCCAATGATAATATGCATTTTTAATAGTGTATGCGCACAGTTTGTAATTTCTGGCTAAAATAGGCGCGCAGTTTGTGCTTTATTTCTTTTTAATCTCCTGATTATCTGTTTTATCTCGAAATATTTTGAATTATACATGATAAATGCGTAAAGAATTAAATATAAAACGAGTCTAAAGTATTTGTCATTTATGTTTAAAGTGCTAGATCGATTTACGTATAAATTCCCCGTTAAATCAGTGACAAAAATGCTTATGTTTTAAAACTTAAGATTCATTTGCACATAGTTTTTGCTAGTATTTGCAAGATTCGTATATTTGCCACAGAATGAACGCATTGAACAAGTAAACAATGCAGGATAAATTTCTTTAAATTACGTTTCAAAATACAGACTCAAACTTAAATGATGCAATGTTGCCAGGCACGCAGTTTGTGATTGAAACAAACTGCGCGCCTAAGTAGGCGCGCAGCTTGACATGGGCACCGTGCAATTGGTCATTTAAAATGAACAGAATACAATCTTTGGTCATATTACACGATAAAACATAAAATCTCAGTCTTTATTTTTTCTTCATTCTTTTAAATGGAGAAAAACAAATAAAGACATTAAACACATAGAATCTGGCAAAGATTCCAGAAATTATGAAACATAATGTACTTTTAAATTTTGACAATACTTGCTGGAATTGAATGTTTCTGAAAAACTGATAATTTGCTCTTCAAACTTTGTGTTCAATTTTTTGCATATCTGACATCTTGGAGTCTCAAATGGCCACAGTGATTTGGTTGCTAATTGCGGAGCAGAAGGTTGTGTTCGCCATTGAAAATACTTATTGTACTTGTGATCATCAAGATCCAGATGCTTTAAATATTCTGCAAGTTTATGAGGGCCAGAAAATGTTGATACATCAATATAAGAACGATCAGGGAGAAGTGTTTTGTAATCGTCACATCCAAATACAACTGGAATCACTTTCCATACTACAAGACAGCGCCAAAGTTTTTCAGTAATGTAATCTTTGCATATTGAATTTTCAAATGCAAGATAGAATTTGTATGGTTTATAAAAATCATTTTCACACTGAGAATTCTTCTTGCATCTTAATTCTCCACATGCTCCATATATGTCAACAGGAATATATTCTTTCAATTTTTTTACGTACATTTCTCTTCTACTCCATGAGGCACAATTACTAACAGCCCATAACACCAACTTACTTTTATTGGCTGCAAAGTTTATATTCAAGATTGTATTCTGATCATCAGATGTATCTATGGTTATATTTTGATACTTTGCATGTGTTCCATTAAAATATCCATATGGACCCCAAATATCGCTGTTTCTTTGATATCCCCATGTCCAGTTGAATCTGAAATCTAATTGATTTAAGATTTTGCTAGACACTTTGCTAAACATCGAGTGAGACTGTAAAGAATGCTTTAGAGATGTTGGTGATTCCAAATTGAGAAATATCCATACTTGGTTATTTGAACGATAAGTGGGTAGTGAATCTTCATCCTTTCCTTTATGACGTAATTCTTGGATGATTTTGTTTGAGTAAACAACAACAGCCGAGCTTATGTTATATGCAAGTTTATCAGTTGTTATCAAACATGTGCAATCTCCACAATTAATTTTTTCCTCCTTGGGAGCGTTTTTGAAATTCCATTGGAGAATAAGCTTAGGACCTTCAGAAGTACCTCCATTCAATGACTGTAATTCCACATGATCAAATGAGGAGTGTGTTTCATTAGAAATGTTTTGCTGGACTGATTCATATTGTGTCGTAAGATTAGTTGCATAAACTAACCCAGTGTGAAAATCTACTTCAGTCCATTTCATAAAATACACTATGGTTAGTGTACTGCAAACCACAACCAAACTACAGAATATATGTTTCATTTCAAAGCATGCTTAGCTCTAAAGGGTATATTTTTCACTAGACATGTTTTGACTAAACTGTCATTTCATGGATTAATTACTTTTGTGAGCAAGGTACAAAGAGACAATAAGTGTCAATCTAGCCTCAGGATTGTTGTGTTATCTGTTGCAGTAACTATTCCAAATATGCAAGACACGAGGGACATAAATTAGCATTGTACAACATAACATAAAAAAGAATATGTAGATCCTCGTGTATTCCATTTTCTTGCTCAGATGTGTAATGCTTTTTTTGTCTTCCCTTTAGCATTTGTGTATATATTATATCATATGCCAGTTGCCTATATTGATCTGAATTCTGTTAGTCTATATTGTATATAGTGTCTAATAAGTATAGACAAATTTAATAATTTTGATAACAGAAGTAATAATATACTGTACATATTACGAATAAAAACATTTTTAAACTCAGGTTTTATACTTGATGAGAAAATTACCTGATGATAAACATTAAGTTGGCATTCATTTTGAAGATGACATCCACCTTATTCTTGCATTACTGACAGCATTTACGCTAGAAATTAAAGTGGACTTGATCATGCAATCCAGAAATTATTGTAAAAAGTAAATGAAAGGCATTTTAATGGTATTATGGGGGTTTTACTGCATGAATTTACATATTTGTGTTATGGCGAGGGAGGGGGATTATTTCATATTACAATCAGATGGTTTCATGAATATCATGGGATAAAAAGCTTATTTACTGGTCGGGATTAAATGTGGTCTTATTCCTCGTAACAATATATTTCCCTCTGGTCACTCGGATAATATTCCCGAAAATATCCCAGTAAATCCTCCCAGTAAATAACATCTCGATATATATAGGTAACAACAGCACTACGGTACTCTGCAACGGTATCCTTCCAGCAATCGGTCGGCGATCATTCTGGGATCAGTCAACCGACAGTATCTCAAATTATAACACGTGTTTCAAGTTTATTAGCTGCTCGATTGTCCAAGGTAGTCAAATTTCCCATGACTTACGAAGAAATCCAAGAAATAGATTGGGGTTTTCAATGAGAGGAGGCGTATACCCAATTGTATCGGGGTTGTGGATGGGTCATTAATACCAATTAAAAGGCCAATATTCAACGAATGCATTTGTGTCCAGAAAGAACTTTCACGCCATCAACATCCAAGGCACATGTAACCATTGATATCTCTTTACCGACTGTGTTATTCAATGGCCAGGTTGTACACACGATGCATTTATCTTCAATGGAAGCAGTTTGAATATCAAGGTAAAATGAATGGATTAAACATTGTGAATTATCGTTGGCAGAATGTAAATTTTGTGATAAATGTGTACACACCCGGAGTTCACCGGGGTGTACATTCTAGAGTTCATTCTAGGCTGCTTTCTAAGAAATGACTATATCTGGTTTAAAATAGGATTAATTCTGATTCTCAAACCATTACGGCCTCCTTAATATTCAAAAACCCTAAATAATGTATAGAATACTTTTGGAATGAAACTGATACTTACATGAGTTATTTTTAGTTTGAATCCCGAGTGTATTACAAAGAAAACATTCTTCTCAGTGACTCTACATATGCTTTGAGGGAGTGGATGATCACTCCTGTTATAAACCCTACAACTTCCAAAGAAGAGATGTTTAATAAACACCAACGCTGTGTCCGTGTTATCATTGAGAACACTTTTGGTATTCTAAAGATGCGATGGCTCTGCCTTCATACATACGGAACACAAAGTATGAAGAATCATGTATCTTGAATTTATTGGTAGTTTGTATTTCCCCCTGTACTCCCATGCCATTGTAACATATAATCTGTGCGTATAATTAGTGATATAAGATGAACATTATTTCATTAGTTTACTATTTTAGGTAAATTTATCATAAAAGGAGAACATGTCAAAATATATTTAGGTGGTCCTCTAATGTTCCAACCAACAAAGTGTGTAAAGGTGACTGGTGCATGTGTCTACCTTCATCAAGTGGCCGTTATGCGAGGAGTGGCCGTTATGCGAGGAGTGGCCGTTATGCGAGGAGTGCCAGTACCACCAGGAGTGCCAGTACCACCAGGAGTGCCAGTACCACCAGGAGTGCTAGTACCACCAGGCGTGCCAGTGAACCATGATGACAACCCAGATAACGATCTGAACATTCCTGTTTACCAAGCTCAATGGGGATGGTCATCGTAGAAGAGATGCCATCATTCAGTCATTTGCATAAGGACTTTGCAATTTCAAGTGATATTCTGCCAAATAAATTGTATAGGTGACACATTGTTTTATACTAACACTTTGAAGGCAATAATAGGTAACTATCAAGCATTTCAACAATAAAAATTGTTATGGTCGTGAAGAAAGCCAGGAATAAGATGAAATGAATTTGAAAGTAGTTATTTAACTTTGTTAACTTTGATGTATCATGAAGACAAATTGGCCAATGGAATCCTTGTTATGATGAAATCTAAAAGCAGAACTTACAAGGGGAAAGTAAGAGAACATGGTACCGGATTTTCTCGCATATAAGCCCTGGGCGTATAACTGAAAGAAGGGGTAATTTCGTCTGTTATTTTACCTCTTATTTTTCACCCATTTTTTTGGCCCAGTGGGTGTAAAGGTGAGAAGAGCTGATGAATACAATGGACTACCATACCTACTGTTGTAGTCCTACCGCACGTTTTGTAAGAATTATAAAGGAAATGTCACCTACAACCTTGGACTTAATGTTGAAACAAAGTAACAACAGAACGATCCACCACTGCCACTTACGGCACAACGTTGAACTTAATGTTTCACTTAGGTCCAGCCTTGGCATGCAGTTTTTTATAGGCAGCCTTGGCATGTCGTTTTTATCAGTTTTGATTAAAAAATGATGTTATATTATATAACATAAAATTAATGATAGATCAGATCCGGTCCATAAACAGAGCTGTTTTTTTACCATTTTTACTAACATTTGATCAAGTCGATCGAGAATTTATTTATTCTATTTAGAGATGTCATTCATATTTGATCAACAAGAAAATATATTGGATAACGTTAACTCAATTTTTTTCTGTTGGGAATATTTTCGATTAGGACATAAGTTATTAAGTGGACAGCCTTTGGTGTTGACAATGGCAATACTTTTTGTCATGGTATCACGTTTGTGTAATTACAGGAGCTGAAGGCAGGTTACAATTAAAACCAACAGAGCCAATAATAACGTTAATTGAAGGCGGGAAGTTAGAACACACAGAGCCACAAATAACGGAAACTGAAGGGGCGGAGCTTGGGTCCAGGGTTTATAGAAGATACTCAACTTGATTAATTGTGGACATTGATTGTGGACATTGCCCGCTCTGTTGCCACCCCTGCATAATATTACATACATATATTCGTATGTGCGTTTTTCATGTTAAGACTGTAAATATTCTTATATCTAGGACTGTTTTATTTGATGCATAATGCTTAGTAAAAAGTACCTATAGTATATCAATTTTGGACATTGCCCGCTCTGTTGCCACCCCTGCATAATATTACACACATATATTTGTGCGTTTTTCACGCTAAGACTGTAAATTTCAGACTGTTTTATTTGTTGCATAATGCTCTTCCTATACTATATAATTCGAAATTTGTATAATGTTAAACACGAGACTAATTCAGAAAGTGTTGTTTGTTTGTGAATTATTTAATGATTATTTATATACGGTTTATATGGAGTAGACTCAGGATGCAGACCCTAGATTATCCTTTTGTGGGGGTATATCTGCATCCTTAGTAGTCCTGCTGTCAGTTGACTCTCATTTATAAATATCAACCACTATTCAGAGTGAGCTAGACCTCTCTGTTATTGGATATGGAAATTACAATGTTTTGCTGAGTTTGGAAAAGTTCCCTGGGGGCAGCCATTTTGGGAGCCTTGTTTTTAAAAGTTGTTTCCCAACGAAAGTCGTTATCTTCTTATCATAATGTGTTGAAAGTTATTTCTCAGGGTAGAAGATATTTTAGAAGTCATCCATGATGAAGGGAGTGATATAAAAGACTATGAAGACATAAGTTAGGAGGAGGACCAGAAGGAGGACTTTGTTGTGCCTCCCATAGAACATGTACATGTAGATTCTCTAGCGCAAGCCCGAGCAGGAGAGTGGGGGGGGGGGGGGACAATTTTGGACAGTTTCCCAGAGAGCCAAGATTTTCAGGTCAGTCAGGGGTACAGGTTGCTGTCCCAGAGCAGCCCGTTGATATGTTCTGTTTATTCATGTCTGAGGATAGTCAGACACATCAAGTATGAATCAAACAAGTAGAAAAATTAAAAGTGTCTTATCGATAAATCTACAGTATACTATACACTCAGTACATATTTGGAAAAAATCATTTTTTCAAAAAGGGCAATTTTGGGCATCATGTATCCATGGCAACCTATGAACTGAGACTTAAAAAATTCTTGGATCTGGAAGTGTATAACATATGCTTTAAAATGATACATAACATTATATATGTATCCAAAATTATATAAATTACTTAGAGGCAACAAAATGTGTCAATTTTCAAAAAAGTGTCAGTATTTTAGGGGGTTTTGGCCCAGTATTGAATGAGTTAATGGGTCTTAAACTTTAAACCATTTTCAGGTGGTAACCATCACAAGGTCACATGATAATTCCAATCACATATAATCACATATGTCATATACACATTGGAGTATAAATAGAGCAGCGGAGGTGACTCAAGAGCTTTTTGCAAATTGACTTTTGATGGACGGGACTATTTGGCTCTGATTTACGGGATTTTTGGAAGTACAAAACTTTGTCATTTTTGCTAACTGCAAAACTTAGATGATTAATGGAACTACAAAACTTAGAAAGTTTTCTGCAATCTGAAGAACATAGTCAATTTGCTGCATGGGATGATTGACTGACCATTAACTATTGACTTCACTTAGCCTGATGAAGTAATCATAGATGACTATAAGCTGCTGATGATTGACTGACCATTGACTATTGACTTCACTAAGCCTGTTGAA